GCCGTGTGCAAAAGCTATTAAACCATTGGTCAGGGAAAGCTTTTATTAATTATTCATGTGCCAAAGTTGAAAGTTTAAAATAAGTCGACCCTAAACAGTATTTTAGTGATAGGGAATGCGTTGCCTTATATAAACTATATAGTCATTGCGCATGACGCGATCAGTGGAATGAGGTCACAGAATGTGGAGATGCAGTCCATGTTAAAAAATGACAAACCAAGTCGTACTTTAAAAATTCATAACTTTAAAACTACAACAGCTAAAAATATGATTTTGGTGTTATAATTCTGTTTAAAATTAGCTCTATTCAACTGTGCCATTGGTTTATTTTTAAAAAAATGTTTACATTTTTGACCAAAGTATCTAGATAAGAGCACCCGAAAAAAAATTCCACAGGTGGAAAACTGGTCTGGCACGAACGTGGGAAAACCCCCTGGCATGGAAAGAGTTAATATCATTGTACCACCCACTTTCAATAGATAAGTGAGTCTGGCACAGATTGCAGAATGCAAATGCTTCGCCACGGGGTGAAGGCCGAATAAATGAGTGTTTTTTTCCCGAATACTCCTTTCGAAAACGTTAATAAACGAATAAACGGTTAAATGTGCCTTTTTTTGTTTGAAGCACCATCACTATTAACAGTTCTCTTTACAAATCTATCCACTTAATAAGAAAAGTAAAGCTTAAAGAAACATACAAAAAAGTCACAACACCACTGTAAGCCTAATAAAACTAAGGATGAGTCACGAATGAAGAATGGAATTCACGGTTCGCTTCGATCAAAACAAAGGAAGTGGCAGTATTGAAATGCACGACTTCCTGTCGGACCCGTTTTTCCTCTTTTTTTTTCGCTTTCGGATTTTTATGACGGGTGAGAAATTATAATGTAATTTTCGGAAAATCGGAATTTTACGGGGTTTGTCGGAAGGTCGGAATGAGGGGTAAAAAATCTGTAAAATTCCGAGAAAATCCAAAGGGTTGGCAGGTCTGCACTATATTTTAAAAAAATTATAAAAATTTATCTCTAAAATAACTTATGTAAACCTTTAGTTTTTCCCGTTTTCTGATGGCATCCCGTTGTCCGGAAAGATCATTATTGATCCCGATCCCGGGCATGGTGGGATCTCAGTAAGATCCCGTTTTCAGTGGTATCCCAATCCGATGGGATCCCATTTCCGGTGAGATCCCATTCCTGGTGAGATGCCATTTCCGATGAGATCCAGATCCCTGTAGTTATAAGGAACTCTCATACTTGGCATACATAGCCAGTTTACAAGCCACATAGCAATTGTTACGAGCGCCTTACAAGAAATTCCATAGTTGTATTAACGTTATTTGTTGCCTCACAAAGTACGCGTATAAACCAAATGCTGCATCATTTAAAATTTCAGTTGGATCAACAATTTGAATTATTGTTTCTTGGTCGTCCTGCCAAAGTGAACAAAGTGATCCCACTACCAGCAATACCTCAAAACGAGTCCATCTTATTCTATATAATCACTAGCCCTCACCCTCATTTTACTCAGCGCAAATCAGTCACCATTAATAAGCGCATTTGCATAAGAAAAAAGGGGAGTGATGCTCAAATTAGAGTTGACCAATCATGGACAACGTATTTGCAGCCATCAGTATGAGATGATTATCAATAAATGATCAGATTTCCCCCTTTCCTGCAATATCCACAAATATTGTTTTTAAAAGTGGACACGTGATCACACATTGGCACATATTCGTGGACACCACCCCCCACCTCCCGTTTTTTCAGCTTCACTCCAGGACAATGATGACGTGTGTCCCCGCTGCCTTAGTCGGTGATCCACTTCTAATCCCCACCAAGACTTCAAGGGACAACCCGTATTCTCAGCGCTCTGAGAGGGAAAAAAAAAGAAAGTGGGGGTGGAGAGGGGGGGCGCTCGTGCGTTTTGTGAACATGCCTACAGTTTGAAAATGTTATTTAGCATACTAACTTATAGGTGGTTAAAAATCTGGCCATAGGGTGAAAAAAAAAAGAAGACAAATGGGGCTATGTGGGGGAAGTTTAAAGACTCTTTAAAAATCAAATAAAAAGAAAAAGGCGATTTAAAATTCAGTATTATAGTTGACTACAACTGCCTAGATACTTCGCCGAAGCAAGGGAACTCCTAATAGGTACTTCAACTCAAATTTTCAAATGCATCTGACACAGACATAGAGCATATCATAGGAAAGAGCTGGCTTTAAGCTTTCCAATGACACCAAGATAATCTTTCTATCACTTATAGGAGAAAAGTTATAAATTTTTTAATGATTTATTTTTCCCCACTAATCGGCTTTGTATTTAATTTTTAAAACTGTGATGGCATTATTACTCTTTTTGTACTATTTTGCTTGTATCCTTTTGGCTATTAAAGTTAAAGCTCTCAAATTTGGAGGAGACATTTAAAATACAATGTTTAACAGAATAAATTGTGAATTAACTTATATCTAATTAAATATGACTTTATGAGCATATGGCGTGGATAACAACAATTGTCAAAAAATTTATTTGTTAAAAAAAATGACATAATTACTAAACCATTAAAGCTATTGCTATAACATGTTCAATACAAACAGATAATATCCATCTAAAAGTAGGGTAAATTTAAAATAAATGTAATGCAGATCAGAAAAAAGTAGGCATTAGAAAAAATATTTCATGAAAGTGACGGCGGCCGAGACCTTTTTACATTAAGATAGATAACTTTTAAACTAATATGCTAATGAGCCTAATGCATGAAATTTTCAGCAATATAGATAATGACAATCGAGGATAGGTCTTCAAAAAGTTTAATAAAGAGCAGTGGACTGAGTGGAAGATAAATAGCAGACCTGTTTACCCTCAAACTCTTAAAATCGTACAATATCATCACAAAATCGTTCAATACCTTATCTTAATAGTAAAAAAAACACACAGTATTTATAATGTATAAACCTCAAAATCGTACATTGTACGCCAAAATCGTAAGAGTAAACAGGTCTGAAATAGGGATGGATAACATTAACAAATAGACTGAAAAAAAGACTGTTTTCAATTAAATTACGCTAATTAAAGAAATGTCCCTAGTATTAAAATTTATTTATTTCATTAATTTAATTCTAGTATTAATAGAGGTCTATTAACACATCCTTATAACTAGTTGTCTTAGTTTATCTAATAATAATAGAGTAATAGAGAATAAATACTGAAGAAAAAAAAAAAGGAATTCTTATACTATTATCTATTATTGGCAAATTGATCAATTTCTTATTTACAAAGAATAATCGTACAAACAATTAATTAAAAGAAATTATTATTTTTTGTATACATTTATATTGTTTCATTATATTAGAATCAAAAACATTTGTTTAATCAGATGTTTCAACGATTTAGAAATGTTTTATTTAAACCTTTATTTCCAAATAATTTTACCTCCCTCCGGTCAATAAAATAATGTAAAAAAAAGATGGCAGCCGTTTTTTCATTAACATGTGGATTTTTTTTTGTTCGCTCGGTATCATAAATTCTAGCCAGTAATGTTAACAATAAATGCTTTCAATGTTACTGCGATCAAGCTAGCTCGTTTTAATTCTCTCACCCTTCGTGCAAAAAAATGAACACGAGTTTAAAATTAGCGACAGTTCGCGCTCCAATTGTTCGTCTGAGACAAGTCAGAATGACGCAGTATTTATACCATTGTGACCAGAATTCTTCAGCGAATAGAGTTTAAGACTGAAACTTATTTATTTTTAGAAAATGACGCATAGACATAGGAACGACAATGCCCGACATATACCGAAACCCGCCCATCAGTGCTGGTCACAGAAATGTACCACGCAAAGCCGGCGTTTTTTTTTACCGCGATTTCCGGTATTGGCGTACCTACTCCTAGTAAATTTGAATCGGAAATGGGCGTCGGCGCAGTAGGATCCGAGTTTTTAATTTTTCATGTGCATGTAATTTGAATAAATTAGGAGTCCTTTTGGCCCATAATTAATTTAGGTTTGACTCTGCCCATTAGGAGAAATGTTGAACTACATTCCCATTGAGTTAATTTGTTCTTTATCTCAACTTTAAGTGAGGAAAATTGTATGTCAATATAAGGCATCTTCGCATTATAAATTCGGTCTAAATATTGAAAGTAGGTCTTTCATATTAAAAGTAGGCTTGCATAATTTGTTGAAGTACACGTGTGCAAAATTTCATTGAGACAGCTCATGAAACATTTTCACAATTCTCAACATTGACCTCATTATGCAAAGGTCGCACAGGCCATTTTGGATTTGTGATTCCACCCCCTTTTAAATAGCCGAAAACTTAGCTTAGGAAATATTCATTGGGGGTCATCACTTTCAACTTCACTTACTTGCTTCATGGGGTCCATGACCATGTTAAAAAAGGACAAATTAAATCATACTTTACTTTAAAATGATGTATCATTCATGGCAATCGGACAATATTTAAATTTTGTGTCAAAGTACCTACTTTAAAAATTCATAACTTTAAAACTACAACAGCTAAAAATATGATTTTGGGGTTATCATTCTTTAAAAAAATTAGCTTTATTCAACTATGCAATTGGTTTATTTTTACAAAAGTTTTAATTTTCAAATCAAAGTACCTACAACTGCCTGTATTTAATTAATAAAGAATACACGTAAGTTTACATGATAAAATTCGAAAAACGTTAAGAAATAATATACGCACCTGAACTCCACTTTTACCCAGTATGGTTTGTTAGAAATTCAACAAGTTAGACTACTTTCAAATTACAATTACAGATAAGACAGTACTGTGGCCGATTTGCCGCCAAAAAAAAAAGAAAAGGAAAGCAACTAACTTTGATCTTGATTGATGTCCTGTTAATGATTATAGAACTATATTTAAAGTAGAATTTAAAAATATCATAAAATTATAAACATAAACGTATTCTTACTTTCTTTCAGCTGTACGTCACATTTTTCTTCGTGTTTCATGAAAGTCTTGAAAATATGATACATTTCTCGATTGATAATAATGGCGACTAAGATGGCAACCAACAGGAAGTATCCGTCATAACTAACCTCACGTGACCAGCCGGGTCCGAATAGCCATTTGCGCTATTGGTACTCGGGTACCTATAGCCACTTCGATATTTTTTTCCTCTTCTAAACTGCTGTAAGTATGAGGGGAAAATTGTCGAAGCTCTTCTCCACGCTCACCTACACTTTCTACATTCAGCAGTAGTCTATCTGCCTATCAGAACGCTGTGAGAATGCTAAAATAGCATGGTCACAAACGCTATGAAAGTGAAAGTACTCAATCAATCAATGTTTGGTGTGTTCTGTTTCGTTCTTTTCGCTAGGGATTTGTGCTTATTTAATTCAAGGATCGGGGGGGGGGGGGGGGGGGGGGGCAGGAGCGTAGCTTTGGATGGTCAGTGGTGATCCTCAAAGTAAAGTAAAGGGGAAACTAAACAATTCTGATACCGGTACTCAAAAGTATGGTGCTGTTGGGTGTATGTAACTATGTTGTAATAACCTATCATATGTAACTTTTTAATTACTATTTGAGAAGTCACTCGTGCTTTTAATTAGCATAGTGTATCTAAGTCTATAGCCGTTGAAACTGAAAGATTAAAAAAAACACAATATCAATGTTTATTAGAAAGGACAAAGTAATCGATAACATATAAACCTGGATATCGTTCGATGTACACAACTAAACGTCGTCGTCATTACTCACAACTTGTAATCTTAAATATGAGGTGTTTATTATTTAAAAAACTTAGAAACATTAATAATTATCATGCTTTAATTAGATTTTTTAAAACTTGCTCTATGGGTAATATTTTGAAAATTTCTGTGAAATCTACCACTTTAGCGTCGTCGTCTATTCAAAAATCGTGTTTTTCGGGTTTGAAGTGCTATTTTACCGGTTATTCTTTTATTGATAAAATTTATGTCTAAAAAATTTATTAATCCAAATAATTAACTTTTTAAAAAAGAAATTGTACTATTCATTGCTATGGCTATATATAGACTATATAATATATAATATTTGGAGCCATCCTTAAAAAGATGTCACGCAATTCAATTATTAGTGGGGAGGGTGTCAGTTGTCACATTTTTGTGACAGGCAGAGGAGAGGGGGGTGGTTAAGCAAATGTGATGTTAGGCCTACATAATATAACAGCGGAATATTATAGACAAAAAATTGCACTGAAATGAATAACTGAATAACACTAAATTACTAAATTAAAATAATTTTTAACTTAATTTTTTTTTGTACAGCAATAAAAGTTTAGGCAAGTTATTTATTTTTAACATTCTTTGCCATCAATGCATACCCTTTCAATTTCGTAAAATTTCCCATAAATTGTGAAATAGGGGTGGGGGGTGTAAAGTGGGTAAAATTTGCGTGAAATCATTTATGGAAAAATCTTGCGATTTGTTAATCCTACAGACAATGTGACAATATCTTTAATAAGTCAATTCTAAAAGGGAGATAACAAATAAATTGTTAAAATTAAATGCACTACAATATTAATTGGTTATATTATTATATATCTTTAATTTCTTAATTATGACACTAATAAGAGATTACTGTTACTATTGACAAAAAGGCCATACTTACTATTAAACTTTAAATATTAAGTAATATCAGACTTAATACTTAGGGAAGGAACCATTTTTGGAAATGCCGAAATTTATTTTGAGACAAACTATTGTTAACTTTGAGGAAGAAATAAAATCTAAGCCTAAACAGCCTAAGGCAGGCTAAGCACACAAAGTAGAGAGTACAGTACCAAGTTCATAAAAAAAGACTGAGTAGACCTATTAATATTTATTGTTACCCGATTTATTTATTATACTGTCTATTTCCAGGCTTTAGTCTAGAACGATTTTTAAAATGTCATTTAAAAAAGTACAATTTATAACTTTCAGAATATGTTCAAGTTTACGTGGAGAGTGTTTAAATCTGTGTTTGGAATTCTTTTTACCATTCTGAGGCCTCTGCAGAGGTTATTCTGTCGCAGACAAAAGCTGTCTAAAATGGAAGGAGTTGAGCTAACTTCTATTGGGTCCGGGGACATGCCATATGATTCTCAATACTCACTTAGCAAGAGTCATATTGAAGAGGTATAAAGACACAATATTTAGTTTCTCTACTAACACTGCTAACAGCATTTCATGTACTTAAAGTTTCTAGTAAATACATTTTTATCAAAAGATCTTGTCAAAATAATTTTGGCCACAGGCTATGGCCATTAACAATGATTTATGGGTGCAAGCCTCCTCCTGGCTAAATTGTACTAGATCAGGGGTGGGTAAACATTTTGTGCGGAGCGCCACATTGACAATTGTAAAGCTATTTCGGGGCCGCTTGTATATTATGTCCAATTTTTACATGTCGATAAACATTTCTCTATATCAAAATCGGTAAATATGCATTTTAGCATTACATGGCAAAGGTCAAGGACTGTTGAAAAAAAAAAATTAGAAAGAAATTTGATAAAAAATGTTAAAACAGTCATAATGTTACCAGTACATGAAATTCTTTAAATTCAACAAAATACCTTAAAAACAAAGTAATTTTAAAAAATTTCTAGATACCTTCGAGGGCCGCATAATATAAGTTGCCGGGTCGCATACTGCCCATGGGCCGTAGTTTGCCCACCCCTGACGTAGATAGACTAGATCAGTGGTCTGCAACAAAGGGCTCCCATAATATTTCTTAGCAAATAAAAATTTATAAAAAGTCTACTCACTCAAAAAAGTTTTCTGACTCCTGGACTACAGTGTTGTGAAAAGGTTAATGCCCATCTTTCTCCTCAATTCCATCAGTTTTGTCTTGTGACATATTTATGTGCTTTGTATTCATACCCGACTATATAGCTATACACTTATAAAGTATCACAGTTCAATTCATTTCTAAACCTATCCATTAACATAAAAGATAAACAAGTAAGAATTATAGCTTTTCAACCCATCAATTTGTGCAACAACGGTCTTGGTAAACCACTGCATGAATTAAAATCCCTTCCATTCTGAAATCATTGACTTTGTCAAGACAGTTTTTTTCTCTCAAGCCCTCCACAGCATCAGATAATTTATTTTAGTTTATTTTATTTTGTTGTTCACTTGATTTCAGTCTCTGGAGAAACTTTTTGTATACGCATTAGTTCTTTTATTGTGGCTATTCCTGTACCTTATGCTACTTATTTCTATTTTTACCTAACCTGATCCTCCACCCATATACAGTTACTTAAATAAAAAGTTTTGATGTAACTAAGGTTAAAACAGAGTGATCAGTTCTAACATGTTGTTTAGTATTTTTATTATTAAGATTATTGCTATCATGGTTAATTTTGTACATTATGTATCATACAGATTGAACCCGAGACCTGGGACACATGGGATGACAAAGGTGAACATTCTTCTAGGGATCAATCAGCAGCACAGAGGAAGGATCAAGCTCAGAGAGGATATGGCACCTCACACAATTATCACTATAACAAAAAACTAATGGAGCCTGAACCAGAAGAAGAGGTTAATTTTTTTGAAGACATGACACCTCAAGTCAAGAGACAGCCCAAGGTACAGCACATTTTTTTTAATGAACAATAAGATCATCTGAATATGCAGTTCCTGGTCTTCACTCATTAAAATAGAATTGAGCCACCAGCATAGCATAAGGTTACTGAGGTATCATTGGGTAATGGAGTTAACATTGCATCACTGAAATTAATGTGTTTTGAAAATTATATTTTATTTTAAGAAGTATAATGCCAACAAAAGACAATCAATATCCTTACTTTGATATGATCATGAGAAATAAATGAAACAAGAATTGAAATATTTTAAATAATTTATCAAGAAATGAAATGACAAATTATTTAATACATAGTTTTAAAAAAATTGCAAGCATTTTCATCTTCACTCTAAAATGCCAGTATTCAAACATCCTACGGATTACATTTGGGTGAAAATAAATGATTCAAACATGTTTCCATAACTCATAAATCAGCTGCGTCCTCAACTCAATAAGAGAACAGCCAATGCTGTAGCGATAACTCTAATCCAGTCAAGATTAGATTACTGTAACAGTTGTTTGTGGGGTTTACCTCAGAACAAATTTCAGAGACTCCAGGAGGTACAAAATACTGCAGAACATATTGTATAGCGGATAAAGAAATCTGACCACATTACCCCAGTTCTACGAGATCTCCATTGGGTTCCTGTGAGTGAGCGCATTAACTACAAAATTCTGTCCCTGGCGTACAGCTGCATAGAAGGCTCTGCACAAGAATATCTTAAAGAACTGATTTATAAACATGTATCCTTAAAGAACCTGCAGTCTTCAACACAGTCCTTACTGAAAATTTCCAGTGTTGATGTCCTTATGAAGTGCGCTCTTTTGAAGCAATAGTGCGAAAAATTATGGAACAGTTTGCCCCACTCTCTGAGGGGAATTAAAAATGATAAAAAATCATTTAAGAAACATTTAAAAACATTTTTGTTTAAATAGATTTAAGAAAACCAGAGTGCAGTGAGCATGCTAAAGTAGCATGGATACCAGCACTATATAAATATCCAATCAATCAATAGAAGTTTTTAAAAATGTACAATGATAATGTATTAAAGTGAACACCAAACAAAGCAAAATTAAAGCTTAGTATCTCAAAGCTATCTGCACTTGGTCCTTATAACTCTAAGTATAAGCCAGTTTGAATTTTAACATTTCATAGATCACGATCTATGCAGGTGAAATTTAAAAAAAATTCATTTGTTAATCATTGTCAAGTATAGTTTGTTTTTTAACCAATCCCAGGTCCTCGTTAGTTGAAAAATGCAACCGAATAAGTTTATGCTAAAATGTTTCAATTGTGTTTTTTTTGGTGATGCTGCAAAACATGCTATATTAAATATTTTATTTATATTATATATGTCATCAACAACATATTTTTGCTATTTCAGATACTGATCCGTAAAAAGGATGCGGCACCAACTTCTTTCCCGTATTTCTCTGACAGACTGGGAGTTTTATCAGATGTCCCTCTTGCAGTAAGTACAAATGTAAATATCATTAAAACATAATTGCTAAGAATATGAAATTCTAAACAGAGCATCTCTCACCTGAACCTGCAGAGTCGTAAAAGAAGGTTTCAAGTTGAAGGCAATTCTTCCATTAGCTTTGTTTGCCTGTTTTCATAATGCAATGCTATTTTCCAATTGATTTAGAACTCTGAGCTGGAAGCTTGGGAAGATGAAAGCAATGCCTGGGAAACAGAGGAAGCATCAGAAGATCTGTCTTGGCAAGCACAAGAAGCTATCAAGGAGAAGAAAAGGTTGGAGAGATTGGAAAGACAGATGGAACAGCAAAAAAAAAAGCAAAAGAAGGAAGAGATGAGAGGATTAAAAACTGGATCATTGATAGCAACCAAATTGTCATGATAAAATGTTTTATTGAAAATATATTTTAAAATATTATTTCATAAGTTAGATATCCAATGCTCTACATGAATGAGATTGCATAGCCAGACTTACTTCCCTTTATCTCAGGGTGGGTATAATTTCTTGCAGTTTGCAGCTTCCCTTTTACAGCATCAACTTCATTTTCAGACAAAGATCTCTCCCCCCTCCTTGAGAGTACTTTTACAATAGCTAAAACTGCTCCCCCAGATTTTAGGCTTTGAAGTCTTTATTTTGAACGTCTTTTGTTTTTATTTAAATTTATAAAAAGTTGCAAGAGATGTACAATATTTGTATCAGAAAATCTTTTTTTTTTTTTTTTAAATATTTCATTCCATTGCCATTGTATTCATTTCTTTGAGATGTCTCCATCTTCTTCAAATGAAACAGTAGGCGGAATTTCCTTATCTTACCCTCACCCCCACCTCTTAGTGCATAAGTAAACTATGGATGGTCTCATGTCACCAGCAATAGCGTTAGGGCCCCCGGACATTCGGGATCTTTGTGCTGCGCTGTAGTGTTAAGAAATTGTCAGCATTATGCTTGCTTAAAATGCCAAGTTGGAAATGATTGTACTTGGTGAGCAAGTACAGGTTGTAACTGTAAAGTATGCTGAGTTTGGCAATGGATTAATAAAGTTATGAACTTTCCCCAAGGAGATGAAGGCCAGAAGGGTAGTTAATGTATTTTTTAATTTAAATTGTTAGAAGTTCCCAACCTGGATGACTTGTGACCTATGTGATATGGTTTAAGTTGGTGCTTGACTATGGTGTCAAAAAAGTTAATATTTAATCGCAACCTTTTTCACACCAAGGTCAACTTAACAGAAACTTTTTCGGAAGTGAAACCAACATTGTTATGTCTTATTTTCTTTGAGGCCTAATGTTGAAAAACTAGTGACTATGAGGTGCCCATTTCATTGAATATATTTGTTGTTTTATTTTAATTCATAAATGAAAAATAATTTAGTTCTTATTTCTAGACTCATACTTTATCTGTTTTTTTGTTACTGAATGTAGGTATATTCCTAAATTGGTGAACATTAATTATTTTTTAAAAATTTAATTGGATAAGTTGTTTAATTTTTCATGGTGGGTTCTCAAATCAAATGTAATTTGGGTATGTGGTCTTCCTGTATAAATTATTGGGAAACACTGATCTTAGGTAAACATTTTCTAGTTTGTTACAATGCATAAATATTCAAGTGCAAAGAACTGGAAGTGATCTGATCAGAGATGATGTAAGCGCAGTGTATGGGTATCTTTCACAACCATATCTTTCTTCTTAACCTACTCCTGCCATACACGCTGTTTGGCTGCCTTCCTATTTCCCCATTTCTGTACCTGCCCGAGTTCTCATGCCAATGCCTTGTGATGTAGCATTATCATGTTCATTCAGGATGCCTGGCGACCCAACTACCATACACCTGACTGCTGAAGTTAACTGCTATTCTTGAGAGCACACCACTCCTGATGACAAGGAAATCTGAACTCTTTTTATCTTCTTTCATTACTTGGTTTCCAAATTTCATTAGGATGGCTTTCTAAGTATATTTAGCCAGCAGAGTGTCTTAAAGATACCAACTGTCGATACCAACATCAAATCCATTTTATGAGGATAATTTGTGTGCTCATGTGTTTGAAGAAGTCCCTGAAGCAGAATTAAAAAATGATATAAATTAAAATACTACTGCTGTTGATGCTATCAACAGTATAATGATGGCAGTGAACTTGTATGAAAGAAATTTATGAGTTAAGAATAAGAAATACTTTTAACACCATGATTCAAATTTTGTTTTATAAATAAACTTTTTTTAAAAAAATTGTCAAATAGATTACAGCTCATATTTAATGAACAAAATCAAATGTTATGTACATTTTAATGAAAACATGCATATTTTAAAATGGATTCACATTTTGACTAAACATCAAAAGATGAGTCTAGGAGTGGGTTACATTGATTTAACAAAGAAGTAATGTTTGAACATGTCTATCATAAAAATATTTAAAAAATGGTTTAAAATTATTTTTTTTTAATGAAACATGTCAAGCTACATTAAAGTATTTTTAGAGATTGTTCTTTGTATTGAGTACAGGGGAAATAAAATGTTATAAATGTTTAAGAAATCAAATTGTATGTTTGAAAATTTCATTGTGAGTGGCTTTTCATATGATTAAAATGTATGAACTTGTATTGCTTTACATCCTGTTAACATTACATTTTAAATTTCTTTCCTTCCAATTAATTAAGAAAATTTGTTATAAAAATTGAAAATTATGTTAAAGTACAATTACAATTTGTTTTTAATTTTAAGTAATCATAATAAGATTCAAATAAATATTTAAATAACAGAGCTGAGGAAGTTTGTCCATGGCTAAAACTGTACAGCTCTGACTCTCCAACCCACTGATGTGTGTGAAAATTGTACAGCTCTGACTCACCAACCCAGTGATGTGTGGGCAACCACTGTACAGCTCTGACTCTCCAACCCAGTGATGTTAACTGATGCAAAAACTAGCAGTGCTGAAACTCCCGCCAAAACTAGCAGTGCTGAAACTCCCGCAACAACTAACAGTGCTGAAAATCCCTCCAAAACTAGCAGTGCTGAAACTCCCGCCAAAACTAACAGACCTGAAACTCCCGCCAAAACTAGCAGTGCTGAAACTCCCGCCAAAACTAACAGACCTGAAACTCCCGCCAAAACTAGCAGTGCTGAAACTCCCGCCAAAACTAACAGACCTGAAACTCCCGCCAAAACTAGCAGTGCTGAAACTCCCGCCAAAACTAACAGACCTGAAACTCCCGCCAAAATTAACGGTGCTGAAACTCCAGCCAAAACTAACAACTGAAACTCCCGCCAAAACTAGCAGTGCTGAAACTCACGCCGTGGTTTTTTTTTTAATTTTAAAAGGTTGAAGCACAAAGCCAAGAAGGATTTTTTTTTAAAGGCCCCAAACCACGCAGTTCTAGAAAGGTAGGCCTACTTTGTCAACGGAAGGAAAACTCTGATCGACCTGTTAACGAATGTGCCTTTCGTTGGAGAAACACTCATTCCTATAAAAATTTGGAACCTCGTAGGCCTGCATCATAGCCAGAAATGCCCGCAATTCGTCTTCCTGGCACGCATTTCCGGCCCCGCCATGCGTTGTTCATCCTGTAACAGGTAAAAAAATGCACATACGTCCTTAAACAATCGGCGAACGGACGTATTACTGATGTTCAATTTGAACGATGTTCCTCGTACTAGTGGCTGACTCCTATTTCTGGAGAACACCGACGTCATTCTCATTATCGAAAAAATTCTTGGTCTATCAGACTTCCTCTTCCATTTAATTTACACAATACACTTCCATAACGGCGATATTTCGTAACAATAGACAACATAACTGTGTTACTTGGTGCCGTCTTATTAAATCTCTCTTGAAATTATTCTGCCATGATACCCATTCACGATCTCTTAATCACTTAATAGGAGCGAAATGATGGTTAACTATGAATATTTTTTCCTCCGCCGAGAGACTCACTTGCTACAAATTACACAAACTAAAAACATATAATCCCTTTTCCTTTTTGGAACACGTGGTGACTGGAACTATGCACCGTTCATAAACTGACTTATGGCGCATACTGTCTATTAGGAAGAGGCAGGGGCGCCATATCAGGTTTTTTTCGGAAAAGGGGGGGGGGGCAAAACGAAAACTTGGTGGTTTGTTAAGTTGTTAATTACTTGAGGCGCCACAGTGCATAGGAATCTAAATAAAACTTGCGAATTCGGGGGGGGGGGAGAGTCGAATGCCCCATCTACGTGACACGTCCCTGGGAAGAGGGCGCATAAATTCAGGCTTTGTCCCCACCCAGACTCAGATTTTGCTTACCACTGCCATGGGAATTTATATTTTTATTTTACTTGTTAGGTTTGGGCCAATCTATGCAAGCTTGCAGTGGCAGGCCCGTTCTTAGGCATACGCTGACTACGCATCCGCGTAGGGCCCCGAGCATGAGGGGCCCCCGTGAGGCGCCCTCGATCCCCCGGTTTTTTTTAAAACTGGCACTGCAGCCGTCTGTGTCACTCACGTTACCCTCCTCATCCTGAAATGTATCATTCTGAGTTGAATTCAGGGGAACGGAAGCAGCCGGGGGGGGGGGAGCTTTGGGGGTGGCATACAGGAAATCGGGGGCTTGGTCGTGGGAATGGGAAAGAGCAAACATTGATGAAGGCAAAATAGAGGTGCCGCAGTGGTGGGGTGGTGTTTTCTCCTCAACTTGAGGGAGCTCCACCCCCGGACTCCCCCCCCCTTCCGGGGCCCCAAACTCCTAAGAACGGCTCTGGCAGTGGTAATTAATCACTTAGTGGTGTAGATAGAGCTTGTTACAATTGTGATGGTACTTGTGTTTTCCACCCCCAATACACAATACATACCTTGCACAAATCACTGGCAGATCCATGAGTGGCGATGGGGCACGCCCGCCCCCACCCCTTCCCACTTTTATGGTTTAACTTATAGGCCTCATCTGAAGTGGAAACAATGTTCTTGTTAATTTCCAAGTTATGTGCACTAAACTTCTAAAGTACTATTGATTTTGAGTATGTTTTCCAAAATCTTAAGCATCTCCTTTGCAATAATCCAAATAATTTCCACGGTCGAATGCAGAATACATAATGGTGGGTTAAATAAAGATCTGAATAAATGCTACAAATGTCCAAATTTTAACCACCCCATACCTAAAAAAATATTATAATTAAAAAAAGTTTACCACTGTTATATTAGACTTTTTTTTGCATACGAATATATTTAACTTATCGTACGCTTTACTTTATCCTATAACTGCAGCGTCGAATTTCGAGGTATGATTGAAATTCAATTAACTAACAGCAGAATGGATACCATTTTTTAAAGCTACTAATGGTTGAGGGCATTTAACCCAATCAGGTTGGGTAAAGGTTGGGCAAAACCTCAATTAGACGTTCCATTGCACCATTGCGTCCTCCAGTTTATTTTAAATTAAGGGATTAAATTGGACAGCTGCTTCACACTTACTTCGTAGAGACAACTCACGCCTGACGCGGAATCAGCCCATTGACTATTGGAGAAGGACTGGTGCTTAAAAAATAGAAGAAAATACAATTATATAACTACTTGCGAAAGTCAGTTAAAATATCATATGCGCTAAACTTTGTTGGCTCCGGGTCTATTAAAAAAAAATAATTAAAAATCAAATAAGGAAACACGCCCCTCTTGTGAATCGTTATACCAATTAACTGCATTAAATAAAGTATCGACTTCTTGATATCGTAGTAGAAGAGATAGTATGAATCGATCCCCCCTCCCCCAAACCACAGAAGGAGAATTAATAATAGGGAAGCGTTATTCACACAGCTCTGTGAATAACGTTTAGCGTTATCGGCAGACCGAAATCTGTGAATAACGGCGAGCGTTATCCACACAGCTCTGTGAATAATGTTTAGCGTTATCGGCAGACCGAAATCTGCGAATAATCATATAATGCATTAGATCTAGACTGGTGAAAAATTATTGTTGGATGTAGGCTATTAATATTGGGGTTGAAATGGCTAGAAAGACTTTGCAATTGTATGCTAGTAATTAGTTTTTGTAGAGTTGCGTTTGTTTTAAATGTGGTAAATTATAGATTTGTATTTTGTTGACATTGTACCGCGCTTCGAGCCTTTGGGGATGAAGCGTGTTTTTGAAATGAACTTCATTATTATTATTATTATTAATATTACTATTAGTATACTGAACCGTCATGAGTTATTATCGAATTTTTTTCACTATTAATTATAAAAAAAGGGCAAATTTATTACTAATATTAGTATGGTAATATCTGTATACCGGTAGTATAATAGTAATAGCCTATTACTATACTAAATATTATGCAGTATAAAGTATATACACAATTGTAGTATAAGTAATATACTTAGTTACTTAGCTTAATCAGTATACGCATACATGGGCGCCCGCAGAAAACTTTCGGGGGGGGGGGGATCGATTAACTTTCTGGGGGGGGGGGCAAAATTTGTTAGCAATGTTTTAATATAGTCTTAATTTACTGTAGCGTATTTGTATGGTGAACGAACGGACAGGACAGGACATCAGCTTAGTTACTTTCTCTTTATTTTCTCTTTACTTTAATACATTTTTTGTCTAAATTTTTCCAATCAATCTAAGGGGGGGGGGGTAAGTGCCCCCCACTTGCCCTTAACTGCGGGCGCCCATGTACGCATACAAATTTATTATTGGGTGATAATTAGTGGGTCTATAATGCAGAGCGTTATTGTTAGACAGAAATGATCACATAAGTACTCACATTTCTAGATCACATTCCAAGCCGAGGTGGGGGTGTAGTTTTAAGTAGTGTAGGAGATTTGGATCTTTAAAGAATCTTTAATGAGTATGGCACAAGCACATTTCATAACCGAAGCTATGCACAAATTAAATTTTAAAAATTTAATAGGCCTAACTATAGCCTATATATTGGATATAGGACAGTTAGTTGTGCCTACATCTGCTCTGTTAGGGGCCAACACAGGGTCTATTCGACCTATAGAGTGTTACTAATAGATCCAGTCAAACCTCCTACTCCTAGACATAACTAATTTTCTGGTATTTCATATTAAATATTATACCAGTAATAAAAATTGTACCCGTACCGGTATTCTTCGTGTAGACTCACTTTCACCCATTGTAGAGAGGTCTTAAAATGATGTCAAAGCTTGATAGGGTATCGTTTAGTGTTTTAAAAGCCCTATGATATATCACCTAGTCTAGAATTGTTCTGTCAGGAATAGCCCATGCAGAGAGGTGGCTGCATCAGGTGGCCATGTGAGAGATGGGGAGGGGCATATTGGCCCTACATTGATAATAACAGAATGTAATCCTGTTAAAGTTTAAGGCTAGTATTTTTTCCTCATCCTTGAGCGTGTCCCTTAGTCTACCCAGCTCTGGCATTAGCTGGTCAAAAGTAAAGCTGGCTGGTTATTGCGCTGGCCATACACTCAAACTTGTAAACGCTGCTTCAATTTCCCCATGGGTAGGCCAATATGATCTGAAGGGGAACTTTACTTCCCCAAGACTCGCAATGCATCCTACGACAAGCAAGTTTCCAACAAATTTTTTAATGCTTTTTTTTGTATTTAGACCCATAGTTACAACAGTGACAGTATGACTTTTTGTTTTTAGACCCAAGTTACAACAGTGACAGTATGGCTTTTTGTTTTTAGACCCATAGTTACAACAGTGGGAGTATGGCTTTTTGTATTTAGACCCATAGTTACAACAGTGGCAGTATGGCTTTTTGTTTCAATTATCAACATTTTTTTGACAAGAGCTAAAATTGTTGATGTCAATGATATTGATATGTTTTAAGTACGGTACCGGTATCTTCATTTCATTGTCATCACTAAGTGTTATTTCAACTATTTCTGGAGCGGCATATTGCGTCCCTACTTATTATGATACTTATTAGAAAATAAAATGAAACAAATAAAACGTGACATATTTTTTCAGCTAAACATTAATACACAACTCTGTGATCTAAAATATTTGAATAAGTAAGTTATTAATAAGTATTTGTTTATTAGAGAAAAAACAAATGGATGTTAAAGTCTATGAGTGGAATTATACAAAGAAAATTAAACAGTCAAAAGAGCTAAAAGTATATCACAATGTACAGTTAGAACAGCTGTATCTGACTTAAACATGGTTTATGCGGCTGATCTGCATATTGCATGTCCATGTTGTTTACATTTTTTTAACGAAACTTGAATGAACATTCTAACAAAATAGATTGAAACTTGTAACATAAGTAACAAAACTATATGAAAATAACAATAAAACTATGTGAACAGAAAAAGAAAGTTATAGGAAGAATATTATTATAATATAACACTACGAAATAACCATTAAATATTTTGTTTTTAAATTTTATTTATAAAAATGAGGCCGGGGAATCGAACCTATTTCTGCTGGGTGACGGTCTGAGATACTGACCACTACTCTACCAAGGAGATGTGTATAAACGAACTTTGTACTTTATATTCATTAATTAATTTATCACATTCTGTGAATAACGTTTAGCGTTATCGGCAGACCGAAATCTGTGAATAACGGCGAGCGTTATCCGCACAGCTCTGTGAATAATCACTTCGTTAATAATAACAGTTTTACTAATATCATTTGTTTTATTTTAAATGAATACAAATTAAATGTATTAAAATATTTAGAATCATTATTATGTCAACTTTGCTGCTAAAGGCTATAGGTTATTCTTTTTTTTTTTTTTTTAAATTTCCAAGACAGTCTTAATTTGGCCAAATCATTGATCATTGGGTTAATAATAAATCCTGATAAGTCTAACTAGGCTAGATAAATGCTACATTTTCGTTATTTTTCTAGTAATTAATTGGGTGGTTGAGTCGCGTAAACTCAACGTCAATGCCTATGATCTGGAGTTCCTAAAAAAAAAAAAAAAACGGTGGATGGATCCCTTAACGGAGGAGTTCCATAGGCGGATACAATGAAGAACCCGGCAACTCAAGCGTCGCAACTGGAGTCAAGCTGTATCATCCATAAGCCTATATGGTGTTCCCTTGGGCTATCCAGGTGCGTGGAGAGAGGCGATGCTGTCTAGGGAACCAGCTTATACTTAATAGTCCTAAAAAAAAAAAAAAATCAAAGACCTTCTAATTTTTGCCTGCGAAGTCGCACCATCGTCTTATTGTGCCAGTAAAAAAAAAAATAATACAAAACTCGTTATTACTGAAACTAATTTTAATAAGCTAAAATATAAATATAATTCCCATGTGTGAAGTCTTTAAAAAAAAAAAAATCAGTAGTCGTATTTATATAATATCATATCAAAAATTACATTTTGTGTCATTTTATTATTCCGATTATTATCAAATACTGAATGCTCTTTTATTTAAGAATGGAATCGGATACTATTTTCAGACTCTAAGCAAGGTCTTTCAAACATAATGTCAGAACAGCAACACATTTTCATCATAACCGAAATATGAGGGCATACTTTAAAAAAGTTTTGTATAGTTATTTAAATATCCAACCTGATTAATTAAAGAGAAGCTTCATTTGCCTATTTCGACGTATCCACCAGTATATGTAGTGTAGTATAAATAGCCTGCTAAATCCTATTCCAACAAACGTAGCGTAGAGTGATGAGAGTTGACGAGTGGTGATTGGAGTGGTCAGTGGACTGATTTCTAGACACCGGTGGGGAGCATCATACGATCTTACACACTGATATCGTGTAAAGAGGATTAAAACATGGTGTTCAAAAGTGAATTTTACGGAGGATCCTTGTTGCTAAAACCATTAGCTGATGCGATAGGGCTTCCTATTGATCAGGTAAAGTAAGCAACTGACACAAATCAAATAATAAGTTAAAATTATTGTTTACACTTATTAAAATGTCCACTCCATGCCATAAGGATACAATATATTTCACATTACAGTTAATGTAATACTCTACACTCTTGTCTGTTATCTAACCCCACCCCTCAGACAATTGCTAATATATATTATCATTGTTAAATTGATAAGAATATGATATATATTAGAAGTAGAAGGCAGGACTGCCTACTAAAAAAACACAATTTTGAATTATGGACCATAAATTTTTTTGTATATTTGGACTATCCGTGCCATGACATTTCACAAGGCTGCCATCTTGGTTGCCACGACCTAGGAAAGATTACAATTATGACAAAAAGAGGGCGGCCGTGAACAAAAAAATAGTGAAAAATTCATCAGTTTTTTAAACTGTAGAAATGTAAAAATTAGTAAAAAACATACAAATTTAATGAAATAATTTAAACCGGTACATAAATTTCATGGCGAGCAATGCTACTTTATTGTATCCATCTAGATATTTGGCAAGAAGTCTCAACAACCTGCGATCGCCCCCTGTCAGACATAATTTCAAATGGTCCTGGTCCATGCTCATTTCCCTAAACTACAACATGAGTGCGGCTACAGTCAAGAAAAAAGTAAAAATGAAGCAAAAAAGTACAAAATAATTTTAAAATAAAAGAAAACCCATCTTACAGTTTCAAAGAGAACACTTTTACACACTTTATTTCAGAATCCACCAAGAACATAATCCAAAAGTTGTCAGAAAATTAATAAAATACAATATCATACCCATTTTCCATAATCCACGAAAATTTGAATATTATAATTAACCAACCAATGACATTTTAATTTAAAACATTCCATAGTCCTATTAAATAAAAGTTAACTCTAGTAGCAATACAACTGGAAGTGAACCCAACACAGAAAATTAACATAAACATGTAAATGACGTCATGGCGTGAGATTGTTTATTTAAAACAAATTTTTAATGGAGTTCTTTAAAAATAAAATTTCTATGCTATTTTTTTTTTCAGATTGTTTTCTTGATTGCATTGATTATAATGTTAATTTATTGCATAACATTCTCAGTCATCAGTGTTGAATTTCTCCTGAGTATGATCCTACAAGTTTTAAGCAGTATGAACAAAATCACACAAATTGAAATATACCATTTTTTATCTAACTTCTTCAGACATTTTTGTCCAATGTTTCATTATTTTTGAGGAAAGACATTTATGGACAAGTCATTGTAGGTCAAATTTTGAGAACCATGCATCAGGGTTGGTTATTTTTTCCTTGTTTAAAATTTTAAAGTAATAGAAGTTGTAGCAGATGGTTAAGCCTTTAGGGCTAGGGGGAATATTTTTTGTTTGAAAACCTATTCCCCTATTACTATAATGCCAGCTAGATTTGTGTTCACTTCCCATAATAGCAAATATTTTGGTCACACACAGACAGCCAGGGCCTAGTCTGTCTCCTTATGAGAATATAAACTGCACTATAAATGCTTATATTATAGGCCCTTTTAATCTTTTTTTTATACGCTATTTACTGTTTTAAAGTATATTATGTAAGTAACATCATAGATAGTTTATATAAGAAAATAGTAAAGTATTCCTTTTATCTTTATCTTTAATTAAAAGTACGTCCTTATGACCAGTATTTCAATGTCACGCATTTGTTTCATTTACAAAATTTAAAATCACATCTTATTTTTCAGATAAATTTTCTTGTTTGTCAGCTTGTGGCTCTAACATTAGCTTTTCCATTCAGAAGTTATCTTTCTGTTGAGAAGGTTGGAGTCAAGGCTCGACATATTGTTGAAACAGTTGTTGGTATACTGCTAACACTGTTTTGCTTTGGAAAGTGAGTTTTTTCTTACTCATTTTTAAGCCCCACATCTTAAAAACTATTTAAATCTAAATGGAAAGAGCCTAATAAATAAAACAAGACATCTATTTTTTTTAGGAATGCCATGCTTAGTTTGACAACACATACAAATTTGAATTTTGAAAAATAATAATTGTTGGCTCTTTTGTTTTGTGTGACATGAATTTGCTGTGCTTACAAATAATATATATTATTAGGCCATTGTTTAAAAAAACAACTGATATATTTCCCAGTGTTTTTAATTCAAACTAGTATTTAATAATGATATTTAGGTTATTTTGATGCCCGAGATTTTTTTAACGTTAAGATTCAGGAAAGCATGATGCAGAACCTTTGAAAGATTTTGCAACAGGCCATTTTCCATTTCAGAGCAACTGTGGCCAAAATATGTCTACCTAGTGTAGTAAAATTGCAAAAATTGTATAGATTCAAGAGTCATCTAAACAGACAAAAAACTTGTTTATTATCATTTTGCATTGTTTGCCTCACAACCAAGAAGTAACTGGTTGAAATTTACCCAAGTTTGTCCCAGGCTTTAGGCTCATAAGAAAGTGGAACGAACTTAATGCCCCAGTAAGGCAGCTATGCTTTAGTAGGGGTAAAACTTGAGTAAAAAAACAACAACCTGAAACACTAAGATATCTAAGACTAAAGATATCTTCTGTCTATGCCTTTCCTACACACTAAAAAATAAAGATATGTATATAGCCAATTTTGTTAAGTTTTCTTACTTAATACCTATACTATTTTTTTCCAAGTCAAATATGGCACCTCCTGTTCCAGTCTGTGGTCAGCTACATTTGTCTGGCATTTGGTGGTAAAACTTACAGTCATGGCCTTGTATTTACTTTCTCTATGGTGTACTTGTCAGTGTGTCATATTTACAGACAAGTTTATGATTATGGTGGCTACACGCTGGATATTACAGGGTGAGTCCAAAAGTAACTGAGGATTAAATACTCTTAAATTCTTTGTCATAGTTTTAAAGAAACCATAGTAGATTTTTTGATGACAAGAAATTAGAAATTTCTTACATCAAAATGCATATAATTTTATTTTTTAGGAATGTCTACAAATTGTTTTTGGAAATAAAGTCAACAAACTAAGTTAAATATAATAGTTTTGCTTTTCACAATAACTTCACACTAGTTAGGATTTCCAGGACTTTTAATTATTATTACTGAGATTTTCAAATAAATTCATATATACTTAATCGGCGCGATATAAATTAGTCATACAATAGGTAGAATTTGTTGACATGAGAAGAAAATATAAATAAATAACTTTGTTTTTATAGAGTCATTGGCATGCTCTGGAATTATGAGTGTTAAAGAGTAATGTATCATTCTCAGATTTTTAAAATAGTATATTTTAAAAAAAAAAAGGAAGCTTTTCTAATTGAGGGCAATCAGATAAACATTTGTATACCCTTTACGTTTTGCAAGTCAAGTAGGGAGGTGACCCTTAACCCTTAGCCAGCAAGGCAAAGATGTTTTTTCATTAGCACATCATTTACTTTTGTAATTATAAATCTACATGTGCATACTCAATGTTATTATTAAGTTGACTGGTCTCCTGATAATTGTTAATTATCACCTTGCAGCCCACTCATGATTCAAACTCAGAAGTTAACTAGCCTGGCCTTTGCCCTACATGACGGTAGATATAAAGATGAAGCTAGGCTTTCCCCTGATCAGAGAGAACAAGCTGTGAGGTATGTGAATGACTTACAAAGTAGGAAACACCCTTTTAAGTTGAGAAGCATGAGATATTTTAGTGCTTTTAAGAGCAATTTTTTGAATGATAAAATGCATTTATAACGCTCCCATTTATTTTAACTACACTTAAAAAAAAACAGAATTTACAAAACCTGGAAAAAATAATTCATAAAAACATTTTGATTAACAAAATAAAACAGCTTTCTGACATGGTGAAAGAAAGTGAAATATAGTAGTAGCTCCCAGTAAACCTCTCAAAGATCAGCATAAGCATTAGCTTATGGAATATTACTTGTCTGATAAGGAGGGTAGGAGATCCTAAACAAAAACTTACATGCAGACCTTAAAGTCTCACTAGAAAGAGGGAGAGATAAGAGAAGCACAGACCACGAAAGCAGACCCACCAATTATTGGTATAGGTATCAACTATAGTTTGCATACATACAAATCAGTCACCAACAATAAATATAAGTTTGCCAGCACAAGCTTTGTGGGCATTAAGAAGAAACTACTGAATACTGTACTGTGTCAAGTGCTGGTTATGAAAATGAGTTACTTTGAACGTTTCAACAAAAATTTTAACTCCCGCTTATGATCTTATAAAATGTTTCAATCTGACTGCTGAACAGATGGGAATGCATTTTTAAAAACAGATTTCTTAAAACCAATAATTGGTTTAAAAAAGAAAATAGAAAAAGATATTAACATCCCTAATTTCTCCCCTGCCTCCATCCACTTACACTTTTCTTTTAATTAATTCGGATAAAATTAATTTTTTTACACATGATTGAACATCTATGAATTAATGGTTGATTATTTTACATGCAGAGCTTAAAAAATAGTATATTACTGAAATACACACATTTTATGCACTGGGCATATAAAAATACCCTATGTGGAAACAATTTTTATTTTACCCACTTAGTGTTAAACGATTATCCGAAAAGATTTGTTTTTAAAGCCAAATAATTTACTTTATGTATTTCATTATCTGACAGCAATGATAATTTCATAATTGTCCTTGGTGATGAAGTGAACAATGTTCCAGTATAAAGCATTGACATTAGTGTTTGTGGGGTTCAAAATATAAAAATCTGAAGAGAGTATTCAAATAAAATCATTGGTAAAAAATATTAAACCACATTTTGAGAGGCTGATAAATTATACATTTCCTCTCTGCAGAAAATTGCCAAATGTTCTCCAGTATCTAAGCTACATGTTCTACTTCCATGGGATCATGGTTGGACCTCTGACATTTTACAATGACTACATAGCTTTCATTGATGGCACCAACTTCATCAAACCTGGAAACAGTGCTGTAAGTTGTTTCTTATCAATGCTATTGACCAGGGCCAGGTGGTGGAGCACTAGTCATGTCACATGCTCTCACTAACTATATATATTCATTTTTTTAACACATATGGTGTAAGCAGAGCCCATGAGCTACTCTTTTAACTACTATGCAAAGAGACTTTTACTATTATCCAAAAATAATGTTTTTTTAAAGAAAAAAAAATTTGTGCATTTGTTACTGTCTCAATTTGTGTGCATGTGACTGTTCTCTGTTTGTGGAATTTGTGTGAGTATGTCTCTTTGTGTGCATGATACATTTGTCCTTCCACCTGGTTATGAAGGAACACAGCCTAGAGATTACATAACAGTTATGGATGATCAGTTTGTAAACTTATATACGAAAAATCAAAGACTTCTTTACGTCTAAATTAAGTTTCAAAATTTCCATTGCCCTTTTTTTTTGAGGCCTAAATTATTTTTTTTTACTACAGGGCGTAACGCATCAAAGACATCCAGCAGAACATCTAAATGTAAGTATTGTCAAGACTATCACTTTCATTTCTTTCAGTGGCAAAGAAAATAAATAGACAGGAAATCAATGAAACACTAATAAGTAAATAGTCATGCTTACTGTTCATTTAAATTTAAAATAAATATGTTTGTCACTGTTAAAAAAGTGAAGAAGTTTATTTTGAAGAAATATCAAAGACTAAAATTAAATCTATACAACTACTAGACTTACTCAACATAAACTAAATGTATTCGACTACTAGACGTACACAACATAAATTAAATAGAAAGATTGTTGGCATCCAAAACAATCCATCCATAACTGCTCTGTGACTTGTGTTTAAAGACATTTTGTTAAAGTCCTCCGGCCCACTTCCCATGTGTCCATGTATGCTAAATTTCAAATCTCTCAGCCAATCTCCCTTTAGTGCAAGCACATTTCATTGATGGTCACTTAAAGCATTGAAGTTTCCCTGCATCAGAACACTTTAATAGTACAGTGGAATTTTAGAAATACCACATTTAAATAAGCATTGATGAGAAAAATTTAAAAAAAATAGTTTTAGCTTTTTTGACAATTTAAATGTTGTAACAATTATGGAGTTTAAAAAAATTCAACTTTAACTTTTATAAGATTCCAAATACCAGACCTGTTTACTCTTAGGATTTTGGCGTACAATGTTGAGGTGTATACATTATATATTGTGTACATTTATTTTTTTACTATTAAGATAATGTATTAAACGATTTTGGGATCATACTGTACGATTTTTAAGAGTTTGAGGGTAAACAGGTCTGCATATAATTCGAACCTATTGGAAAATTGAACTTTGAATGTTAATTAAACTCTAGAAAATAGTATTTCGGAAGCTGTTGGTGGCCTCAGCTTGCTGTTTGGGCATGATGATTTTACCTGGACTTTGTTTCCCACCAGAGAAAATTAATAGTAAGTGTGATACTGTTGATAGATTCACTTGTTGAGATTTGATGCTAAATTTATCCAGATATTACCATTTAATAAAGTTGTCAGCATTTTTGCGCCTTTTGATATTTAGTAATATGGTCAGAATTGTATATTAAGTTTCTTAATGGTGTCATGAAAATTGGTATAAAAATGATCAATTTTTAATAATTTTGTCATCATACATCATGGAAAAACCTATACATTTATATTTTGACAGCAACATATCTCTTCACTGTTTAAATGTCGTTGTGGAAATTGCTTGTTACATTTGTCAGCAATAAAACAGAATCTTTTGTCATAAATTTTCTTTAAATGTTTGCTAATACAGTTAAAACCAAGTCGTCCAGAGTCTGCTGCAAAACTTTGCTATTAGTATTTTGTATGAATCAGACTAAGGAAATTAACATCATGTGTCTTCACTCTTAATGTTACACAAATAAGTGCAATGCACATACTCTCAAAATAAATTCTTTTCTCAAATAACAAGCTTTAAAAATCAATGGCACATGACTTAGATGATCAGTTTGAATAATTCAAGTCTAAATTAGTGGTTACAAATACAGAGGCTCTTGCCTAATCACATCATTAAACTAAAAATACCCTGTGGCTATCTGAGAAGGAGAGTAATATTTAGATGCACCTCCAATTAAGGGTATTTATCTGCTGTTTGATCAATTCAATACCCGAACTGATATCTCCAATATCTTAGGTTAGAATATTCAATTCAAAATTTAGAACAGCAATGAGTTATGGGCATATTTATGTTCAACTCTTTAAAAAAAATTCAATTTTAAATATGCCTGTCAAAGTTTCTGTGAAATTTGTTTAAAATAGGTAGATTTTTAAATTTACACTTGACTTCTTGTAGGTAGTATTATCTTGTCGAGTTTTTATTATTTAGTAATCAGGGTGTAATGAAACTTGATTGAATGTAATTTAAATCGGTTTACTGTTGGGGTGGGGAGAGGGGGGGGGGGGATCACCTATTTCCTAACACAAAACTTCGCTTGTATTTGTAACTTGAAGCGTGAATTTATTAAATTGTTTTAAAGGCAATTAAACTCACTATTTTACAGCCCCTGAATATTACAGTATGAATTTTCTACATAAAATGATCTATATATTGGGAGTCATGACAATAGCCAAGCACAAATACTACTTTGCTTGGAAACTGGGTATGTTGAACTATTTTTTTACCTGTTCATTGAAACGCTATGTTTTTACTTGCTTTGAAATAGGACTTTACCCAACTACTTGTCTGAATACTATGAAGAAGGTTCATTCATCCCAGCATTACACAATTATTCTTTTTTCCTTCTGATTTCTTATAATGACAACTGTATACATTTAATAATCCTGAGTCTGGATTCACATTAGAAAATTTTGAAACAACCCATTTGTGGGTTTACATTAGAAAATCGGTAGGTGGATCCTAGTTTTGGAATTATATGGTCATATCACATATTTGGTTAGTTTATAGCATTTATTATTTAAATCAGTACAGCTAGTTGAGATTTTGGATTATTTAGTAACATAAAAATAAGGTGACTTTCCAACATTAAGACTAGTATTTCAGTGAATTTAGTCTCTTCTCATTCTCCTTTGCTAATTGATTGAATGTTGAAAACATGAAGCCATATTTTATTATTAATAAAGCAGTCTGGAGAAATAAACTGAATAGTGCTGCCAAGCTACCGTTACTATTATGACAAATAATTAATTCTATTTCATGGCCGCAGCCGATGCTGTCAACAATGCCGCTGGGTTCGGCTTCAGTGATTTTGATGCCCAGGGGAACCCCAAATGGGATCTAACAGATAATGTGCATATAGCTGGCGTGGAGGTAGGAGATATATGATGCAGTGATTTCCTAAAACATATTACTTGGAAGTATGTATCATAAGTTTCTAATACATTCATTCATCAAATTTATTCTTGAAAATATTTGGCATTACTTTGAGCCATAATGACAAATTGACTTTGTGACAGTACAAATATACAAAAGCATACACAAAATTAAAGAAAAAGTGAAGAGCTTTTTTTTTTGGACCAATCTCAACTCCATTTTTCACCTCGCCAGTTATCCACTAGCCTGAAGGTGAACATTGACAGCTGGAACAAAAAAACACTGACCTGGCTTCGTCGTATGGTATATGATCGCGCACCATTTTCCAAAACATTGGCTGTCTTTGCTTGCAGTGCATTCTGGCACGGCTTCTATCCTGGCTACTACTTAACCTTTGGAACAGGTGCTTTCATGACTGTAGTAGCGCGAGATGTAAGTATGGTTAAATTAGTTCTCTAACTCTTTGACTCCCAGGGGTATTCTCAGCTTTACGAAGCAGTTTCAGACACTTTTAAACTTAAATCTAAATCCTAAGATTAAAATAAGAGATAGACCCCCAAATGTTGTATATCATTGGCAAGGAAATTGAAAGTACTTTTCTATAAAATGAATTTGATATAAATTTGGATTATTGAGTTAAAGTTTGTTGAAAAAAGCAAAGACAAAAATGGATTGAAAAATTAATTGAAACCAAACCTTTACACCGCTTCAGCTTTTTACCAAATAATTATTAAATCGTGAGTCGGTACAGTCAGCTTATGGGACAGAAATGAAAAATCGATGAGCCAGTACAATGAGCATATGGTAGTCAAAGAAATCTTACCTACAATGAACCTTAATGTGTTGGATGTGACTGATCCTGTTTTAAACAGCACATGAAGGTTCCTTTGATGCTGCTGACCAATCATCCGTTGCCAACAGATGATGGTACATGTAATGTAGCTACCTGATCGAGTCTTAAACCACACCTGTAGGAGTGTCTGCATCTTGATGAAGGGGACCAAGTCTATATAATTTTGATAACTTATTTTATATATTAAGATGCAATAGTTTTCTCAAGAGAGTTTTCCATAAATTTGAGATTGATTTGAATTCATACAATTTCGGACAATTCTTTTAATTAATTTTTTTCTCTAACGCTGCAGGTCCGACGATATGTGCGGCCTTGGTTCCAGCAGTCATCAGTTCACAAATTTGCTTATGAGATCATCACTTTCACAGCAACTCGCTTCGCCAACTGTTACATTTGTTTCCCATTTTTAGTCTTGGAGTTTTATGCTTGTTTCAATATGTACAGGTAACACTTACCATCTTGTCTAAAATAAAAAAAATTTAAAAAAAATTTTAACCCACAAACTGTGGTCGGCCAAAAAAATCGGACTACATTCCTGTTCTGTACTTTGGCGGCCAAAAAAATCAGCCGATAAAAAACACAGTCCGAAAGCAACTTCCAATCCAATATTTAACCGGAATTATAGCCACTTCCTTTTATTAATAATTAAATCATCTTCCTGTTCAAGCTGTTTCTTGATAACTTATTAATAAGTACTTTTTCATCGGAGTTTTATATCGCTGTTTTTTTAAAAGCTAAAATGGTTGAAGCCATGGCTGGGCCATCAGTGCAAGAACTAATAGAAATATTTTTTGAAAGCTTTTTAGGAGAGGTTTTAAGTGATACTGATGATGATTTAAAGATTCCCCATGACGATATCAGTTGAGATTATTCTTCTCGTGAGTTTTATACTAGTCTTAGTGATACTGAAGTAGACCTAATGAGGCTACTGTTAGACTTTGAGTTATTAGTTCAGAACTAATAAATTTTATATTTCAACAACCCAAATCAGTTCCACAGTTCCTTTTTAAATGTTTACTAGTCAACTATTTTGCCTGAGATTTTGTATTTTCACCAAGCAAAAATTTTTTTAAGGGGTGGGCAATATGGCCAACTTTATCCCCATCCATTTACCTTTCTAAAAATATATACTTATAGGGGTCTTGTATCAATATTTCTATGTCATTTAATGCAATTTCAAATGGCACTCAAAATGCTCTGAAAAGCTCCACACCACAGAATGATGCATGCCACAGTTCGTGGGTTAAAGTTGAAGGGGGCTTCTTTGCCCATAAGAAGAATATTAGACAACACCTGTCAAGCCAAGTTACACACCCGTTTCACAACTACCTACCCTTTGACCATGTTGTTGTAAAGCGTGGCTGAGCACACTTAAAATCTGAAAATCTTTTAACAATTTCTATTAAAAAAACAGCATGAGCTATAACCAAGCAAATGTATAGTAGATTTTTAAAATAGCCGCTGTTGCAAATTTTTTCGCTTCTTTTTAATTGATAACATTTTTAAATTTCAGATCACTTTACTTTTACTATCATATCCTGACCCTGGTTGGCTTTGTGTATTTCACTTTCTCCGCACGGTCCAAAACCACCAAGCCTCACTCTTCCAGTGTTACCCCCCAGAAAAGCTCAGAACCACCTGTGAACAGGAAGCTGAATCAGTCCTTGAGCAAAACAAAAGGCTCGTTAAATCAAGACAGAGATGACAGTCCCGTCAACTCGGAGCCGGTGCTTAGTTTACATGACAAGTGGAATGAAACTGAACAAAAATCCAAATCTGAATGACCTGCGTATTTTAATGAATGTTTTTTCATATTTCGCAATAGTTAATTTCTTATCAAATCAAAATTGTTCATTTAAGCATTATGGTCAGTTGCAATAAGTAAGTGGATAAAAACATGCTGGAATTTTAAATGTGTTGAAAATTAACTCATCAATTAATCAGCATATTTTTGTTTGTTGAAATAGTTAGATAAAAATCACTAATGTAATTTCATCTGGTAAGCAACATCAGGACAAGGTATGAGCTCCAGGTAGTTTCATCTGCTAGGCAACAATAATAAATATAATCGGCACTGCAAATAATTTCATCTGTTTTGCAACATCAGTACACATGAGCATGCTGCAAGTAATTTCATCTGCTGAATAACGTTTCATAGTACAGTTCTAAATAGCTTATAACAACCATTTAGTATTTTGTGTGTGATCTCTTAAAAATCAGAATCCCTTTTAAAAAAAAAAGTCTTTTGAATTTTATACAAATTGAGAAACCGGAATATTTATTACATTTTCTTCACAACCTGTAAGTAGATTGCTAGGCTAGACTTTATATAATCAAGCAGTTCCAGAACTGTATACAATACTAGTTAGATATGGAATACTTTCATTTAACATTCCCATTTGTAAATCGCACTAAATTAAATATATGTTTTAAAGCATTTGTCTGCATGCTTGAATTCTTGACATCAGTAGCAGGAGGTTTCCAAGATTAATTCCATTCTCTCAAACAAATATGAAGTAATAAGGAAGGCCTGTTAATTTTCTTTATTTGGATGGCTGTGAAAGATCGAGACATAAAGTATCCAAATGTTTGTTCTAAATGACATGCTTTTGAGGAATGTTTAAGATTACATCAGTGTGCATTTAAATATTGACTTCAGAGGAATGATTCTTTCCTTCTTGTTTGATATTGTTTACTTGCTACTTAAAACTTGGAAAATAAACAGGGTCCCCATGTTTTTAAATTTGAACTGAGACCTACAAATAGCATCAGAAAAGTCTTTGGTGCTCTAAGTGAAAGTTGGGAGACAGTGTTCTAATTTATTTGTAAGATTAAATTCATTGGTACAAAATCTCTTCTCTCTTTCCCCCCCCCCCCTCTCCCCCCATATGATTGCATTGCTTGGAGAGTCTAATGTATATTTAAGTTTCAATGGATTGAGTACTGGTATTTTTTTCTTTCTTAAAACTCAGATTTTGCTTCTAATTGTCTAAAGAAAGTAAAAGGAACTTGGAGTAGAGATGATTCATTGAATGAATGGGCATTGGGTGGCAGTGATAAATAAGGTTGTTTTTATTTTTGATCTGTTCAGGTATAATTTATGGTGCACCTGTTTGTCAACTGATTTTCACATTTGGAGTTTAACCATGTATGACATATGTGTCTGCTACTTTTTGGATATGTCTGCTCCTCCTTGATATGTCTGCTAATGCTTAGAGGTGTCTGCCAGTTTACTGGTTAAGAGTTAAATTTTTATGAGCCCTTAAGTTTCTTACATGTGAATAATGAAAAATTGCATTTTAGAATAAACATATTTTAAATTCACCTTTGACCTTAATTTTTTTGTTGCCTGCTTACACTCTATTTCTTAAATCATCTCCTATATCTTAATCAGTTTCCTTTTTAAATGCTAGTCTATTTCAAATATACAAGAAAACATCAGTGAGGAATGATTGAGGTAAAACTTTTGATAATATTTTTGCATTTATTGTGTTTGAGATCTGTAGTCAAGTTCCAGTCACTGTAGATAAGTTAATCAGCAAAGTCAACCTATTGTAATTATATTATCTGAATAATAACACATCTACATGAAAAGTTGATTGAAGTCCTAATTTTACTACAATTCTTGCTGCAATCTTGTGAATACAAGGAACGTGGTATTGAGTATATTTTAAATCAGGGGTTCTCAAATTATTTGTGATTTTTTAATCTTTTATTATAAGTTAATAAGCATCTAGCAGCCCAAAATTGATTTTTAATGGCAACTTAACCCCTTTGTCTTGACCGCTCCTCCCGTTTCTCACACATGGTAAAACTATAAATGTGAATGTTCTATCAAATTTAAGACTTCTTCCCTAGCTTAATGAGCTAAAAAAAAACAATATATTCAATGTGATCTTGAAAACTCATTGAACAATTCATGAACCTAAATACATACCTTAAAGGAGACAATTTATATGATAATTCTTGAAAATTATGAATTTTAAAATGTCTACAGTTATCAGTAAACGGAGTTGGAGTCCCGTAAGGCGCATACAATGTCAATTCCTGCAACCGTACCCATCCCTGGTCGTCTTGACGTAGAGTCTTGCCACTGGATATGGTGGGCTCGGACGAGAGAGTGAGGTTGACGCTGCGCAACTCTTCCTCACTTTAAACAAAAGTCACCCGCGCAAGTCATCAGTCACCAGACGACTCGATGGTCATCGTCGATCCTCGACGGACGAACAACAAACGTTAATAAAACTAAACATCTTGCAAACAGCTCATCACAACCTGGAAGGTCAAATTTTTAAACACATTTATTTCAAAACATAATTAGTAAGTGAATTAGTTTTTTAAAATATAGAATGATATGAAGGCTATAATATTTTCTTTATTTAAAGTATATTTATTGTTTTTGCATTTCTAGTGCATAAAAAGTATCCTAAATTTTAAAAAAAACTAATCATTACAGGCAAGGATACAAAAGTAAAAAAAAGAAAGATTTAGAAAAGCAAATGATGATTCATTTTAGACACATCTGCTCTTCAAACAGAGGGAGAAATATTTTATCATTTCCTATTCACTGACAAAACTCTAAATCACTTCTATTTAAATTTTAATGTATTTTTAATTCTTTCAGAAAATGGGTTTGACAATAAATTAAATGTACAAGTGGAAAGTTTTTAGCAAAATATAAGCATATTAAAAAATTATTCAATAGGGGTCATCCATAAAAGACATCCACACAAAAGGGGGGAGGGGGGGTTCAGCAAAAAGTGGACAAATATGGGGGGGGGGGGAGGGGGGTTTAGGACAAAGTGGATGTCCACATTGCAGTGTTTTTTTGAGTGCAGCAGTTTTGCATAAATTTACTGCAAAAAACTTTTAGTTTAATGACAAAAGAGTTGGGATGCAAACCGAAACAATCTTTCACAAACTGAGTGGTTAAATTTAGAAACGATTTTTTCAATATTAATAATTATTACGCTTGAATATTATTTTAAAAATATGTTGTTAAAGTTTGATTTGTCAAATACAATACAATCTCAAATAACAGTTTTGCATGCCTTTTTATCTCTATTGTCCATCGATACTGGGAGAATTTCCAAGAGAATATGTTTCTGCAGTAAATATTTCCCATCACAGGCGGCAATGAAAAAACATAAGGTTGTCCATTGCAATATTCCTGCTAGTGAACATAATATGGCAGACGAATCAGACGAAGAGACTACCACTAAAATTGAATTAGCAATTAGAGACTCAAAACAGATGTTGTCATTATACGAAACATGTTTGAATGGCTGCAGTCCGAATTTTCCGTTGATTGAAGAATGGTGGATTATTTGTTTATTACATTTTTTAATACAGTGATTCAATAAAATGTTTTTGAACAGTTATTATTTCATTTAGAATTTTGCCTGCAAATAATTGGAAT